ATGTATAATGTTCTTCCTTAAATATTGAATTTTTCTTTCTATGTCATTTTTTGATTAAATGAAATCAAAATAAATCAGTTCCCTGAAAAAAAAAACATTACTAATGCAATCTTATTTGACGTCAATCATTATCGAAACATTTTATGACGTCGATTGTTAAAAGAAAATACTCATAGCATATTGCACCAGATGAGTAACTCGTTTATATACATATATACATATCGAGCATCCGATTTTTATTTTTCAGATTGATTTCATTGGTTTCTTTAGTGACGGTGACGTGACCTACCTAAACTTCTGCTTCTTAACATAATAAAACAACAATGCAGAATATTATATAGATTCATCACTGGAATAAAAAAAGAAGAGCCAACGTCGTAAAATCTGCACTATATAAAAGTTTATTTTTTTTCTTCCATTCTGCCAAAATCCAGTGAAGAACACGTTTTCTCTTTTACACCAGAACACTTTCTTTCTTGTGTCATGCATAGTGAATGTAAGTTATTATTCTGCCGTGTTTGCACTATATACTCCAACTTTCATGACTTCCCTATTTTTCTTCCAGATAAATTTGTACCGAAAACAATAGATGAACATCGATGCTGTTTATTGCCACGTATTTGCCCTCATATTCATCCTGTAAATAATTCCAATGATTCTATTAATCATGTTTCAAATAATGAACCACAAGAATATGAACAAAAACAAAAAGTAGAAGCTTATGTTTTTACTAAATTAGAAGAATATTCTCGAGAAAAATCTATACGCCTATTTCATTTAACATCATTTTCTCGCATACGTCGACGTTTAAAACGTGATGTTAAATATTTATCAAAACAATTTGAACCATATAATGTATCCGAACGAAAAATTCTTCAATGGATTGATGATACACTTGAAAGAATTAATTCACATTTTCCACATTTACGATCATTGATTGATTCTCAAAATGAATTAAAACAATTATTTTTAACAGATGAATTTTTTTCATCAAATAATAATAATAATCAATGGCGGAAATTACAAATAAAACGAGCTAAAATTTTATTTCCTGATACGGACAATAATGAAAATGAACTTATATTAAAATATCAAAAATATATTATTGAAAATTTAACACCAAACAAATTAGAATCTGATTGTCTACCATTAAAAAATAAAGAGAAAATTGATTTAAATTCTGAATATAATAAAGCAGAAAATATTGGACGAGAATATTTAAAAAATATTTTTGATGATTATAAAAAACGACAATATCCAAATTTAAATTTAATTAAAGAAATGATCAATCTTGGAATGGAACAAATGAAAAAAAGACCAAAACTAGATGAATTGCATCAAGCATCAACATCATCAAATATGTTTTCGAAAGCATTATTTATGCTTAGAAGTAAAAATGCTTATTCTATGAGTTTAAAAAATTTAGCTGATGATTTTATGGTAAATAAAATATTAATTTCTATTTAGTTTTTTTTTTGTAATTTTAGAATTAAATTTATCAAATATTTTTTAGTTCTTACGTTTTGGTCGTTCATTAGGCAATCAAAATAACAAAAAAGATTCAGTCACGGAACGATTCACATTATTAATTCATATGTTTTTAAATACAATTTCCATTCTTATACATTCAGTAAAATCAGATACACCTGAAATATCATCATCTTTATTTTCTCAATTTGATTCTAATTTGTCATCTGAAAATATTCTTTCACCAATTATTCATATCGATCAATGGACATGGTTAGTCGAGAAATGGAAAATTGCTCTACAAACATTTCCAATTAATTTAACAAAACATGGTGCATTTGGTCGTCTTGTTCGGACAACAATTGGCGTTGGTGTTGCTCGATTGTATGGTTTTGCTGAAAATAATGAACATGATGAATTGGATAAAAAACTTTTTCAAGCATTACAAATGGGTTTTTATTATGGTGTTGCTTATGCACTTGTTGATGGACTACAAGATAATCAAAATGAACAACAACAACACCATATTGACATTGATAAATGGTTGATCGAAATGGAACGTATTTTATGTGGTCATAAACTTGATCAAAACTCTCTTCCTAAATTACCTATAACTTCCCTTTTACTTGAAACATTTCATAGCCTTATGCAATTGACATCTATAAATTCTATAGCTGAACAAACATTTACAGATCTTGCCTTACTTCTTCGTTCACAACGATCTGATAAAAAAAATCTGGAACGATCATATAACAATGATATTGATGCTTATATTGGTCCATTGTTGAAATCTCATTTTACCTATTCAGCAACTGCTTTTATGGGTGGTGCACGAATGATACATGATCGTCAGCGTTTATGGACAATGCCATTTTTAGGACAGTTAACAGATGATTGCCGTGATTTTGATGAAGATCGTCGAGAAAAATCTATAACACCTGTTACTTACTTTGTTGAACATAATGATTCAATATTAAATCCATTTTTTGTTTTTTTATTTGTTTCTGAAGATTTATATACACAAAGTCATCGAGAAAGAGATACTGGCGCATTTTTAGGACGTCGAATCATAAGAACATTACGATCATTACAAAATGATTTAAATGAATTTTTAACAATATTTACTGCTAAATCATATCCAGATTTTTATAAATATGCTCTTTCATTAGTAAATCTATTTGATCGTGTTAGTGATCCCGAAAAGGCAATATTTCGTTTTATAAATAAATTTGCTATTGGTTATTCATTTAATCATCGAAATGTCGAAACATATGCATATGATCATTTGTCTTCAGTTGAAAAACAAATAACAATAAAAACAAATGAAAATGATCCACTTATTCGTGGTATTAATCATAGTTTAAAAGCTGGTGGAAAACGTCTTCGACCATTAATGCTTCTTATGGTTGCACAAATCTGCAATATTGATATCGAACGTGTAATACCTCTTGCGCGAGCTATTGAATATCTTCATACAAGTAGTTTAATATTTGATGATTTACCAGCACAAGATAATGCCCCATTAAGACGAGGTCAACCAACACTTCATATGCCTATAGAAACTGATAATGATGAAATACCACCATCATTAACTGAAGGACGAGCTCAATTAGCTGCTGTTAATTTAATTGCACATGCAATTCGATTAGTTACTGTTGATCTTAGACAACAAGGTTTTTCATATGAAAGTATTAATCGAGTTACTGCTGAATTATCACAATCAATGGATGAACTTTGTCATGGACAATTTCTCGATTTACAAGCAGCAAGATTGAAAAAATCATTAACTATTCATGAACTAGATCATATTGCTGAATTAAAAACTGGCAAAGCTATTGAAATTGTTTTTATTTGTCCAGTTATACTTGCTGAACAAGATAAATCTCTAAATGTAACATTAGAACGTCTTCGTGAACTTGGTAAATTAATGGGAATTTTATTTCAAATGAAAGATGATTTACTTGATGTTGAAGGAAATATAAATGAAATTGGAAAATTAACAAACATTGATCAACAAAATCAAACAGTTACTTATATTAGTTTGTTAGGTATTGACAAAACTCGAAAACGTATTGATACAAAAAGAAAACAAGCCGAGTTTATTCTTAATAGTTTATGGCCACAAGCAGGAACTATTCATGATGTTATTAGACATATTTGTGAACGACAAAAATAATATGTCAGATTAATTGTTGTTTTTCTTGTTTAAGTTTACTTATCAATTGTGAGGGCTTTTTTTTTCTATAAGACTATTTATAAAGACAAATGAGTCAAGCATTGACAAAACTTATAAAGAATAATGAAATTTTTATCTTCAAGTGTACCATGACGTAAATTATCAATGATTTTGCGTCCCATCTATTCAACATAGAAAGAGAATGCGCTTAGATTTTGATTCTTTTAAATAATTCTCGTTCTTCGTACATTCTTCTATAAAAGCGACTATTTAAAAAAATATCGTAATGCAGCGTCTATATTCGTTCGTTGTGGACTAGTATCAAGCTCTGTACTTATTGAACAAGAAATGGAACAGAAAACATACAATACCAGTGTTTGAATCCTGCATTAATAACTTTCAAAATAGAAAATGAGCAGCGATTCAATCACACATTATGACCTATTCATTTTTTTTTACTGAAGTTAGTTTCAACTTCTAGTGTTCATGATTTCTTAACTGGCAAAGTAAAGAGAATATACAACTATCTTTACAGATAATATTATGGCTAACCAATAAATACAAGAAAGAGACCGTTTTTTTTCCAAATATAAAATTGACATTCAAGGTGTTATGGAATGATTAATTTCTTTTTCTTAATATTATTATATAAATATCGATAGAATAGCTATAGCTGCACAGGTTGAATAATTTCAGAATCAGATCCTATGAATTCCATGAATAATCTAATGATTTCCGACAGGAATGTAGTAGGCGTGGGTGTGAGAGTGAGGGTGAGTGTTTCTTTCATTTGCCCTCACACTCCACACTTGCACCCACACCCACACCCTTCTCTACTATATTTATCCCCATTTCTCTAATATGCAGTTATACACACTAATAAATGGATTTAAATCTACTAATTATCTAGAAATTGTTACACATGCGAATAAGATAGCGACTACAATAAGGTTGGACTTGGCATCTCTTCAAGAACCTTGCGGAAAGTAACACATTGAGCCATAGCCTAGTGTCCACTGGCCCGATCCTGGATGTGCCACCGCAGGTAGGCGGCCAAAAATGCGTGCATATGATGTTTATGCTAACTGAATCTTTTTCAATAGTTCCATGCTAAGATAAAACTAAATATATCTAATTTTTTAAATGTAATTATATATAGAAGTAAATTATTAGCCCATATTAATCTAGCAAAACTGCAGCCATTCGATAACTTTTATCTCATATATATATATATGAAATAGATGGTATCTAATCGTGAAGAAGCGATACGAGTCAGATGTATATGTTCATAATATTCGGATGAATTAGTCTTATTGTATCGATACGTACTATGCTGAAAGAAATCGAAATTTCTTGTTTACAAGATATCAATAAAAGGGCTTCTGGACCACCCTATATATTATATATATATTTTTTTTTGTTAAAGTCATACTTTTCAATGAATACTTACCAACTTTAAAACATTTATTTAAACGACATTTTTTACAACATTGACGTATTGTTGATGTTACAACACAACTATCATTATTACGACAACAAAATTTTTCCTAAATTTAATTTATAAATTAATTCCTTTTCTTTTTTTTTTTGGAAAAGAATTTATAGAAATTTACCATTGGTTTTAATGCATTTCGACGTAAAAATATTTTACATAATTCACATGTAACTAGAAATTGAAATAATTAAAATAAATATACATTAGATGAACAAAGTATATTAATGAGAAAACATAATTTGTTTTGTAAATGTGGAATAGATAATGACATAGATCGAATTAATGCTTTTACATCTTGATATTTTTGTAATTGAAAATGACCAAGTGTATAACCTCGAATTAAAGCTGAAATAAAAAAAAAGAAGTTTGATAAAGAATAAAAAAAAGAATGTTGTACATGATATTCATCAAAATTTGGAAGTAATTCAATTTTCATTGTTAAATTTGAACTAATAAATTCTTTTATGAACTATAATACATTTCGAAAACTTTGAATTCATATTAAAGAATTCTTTCTTTTTAATCTAATAAAATGACTAGTAAAGGCATAGAAAAACATTATTTGATATCATGTAGATAAAATGAAGAAGTCTGGCGTTGCAGAATCTAGTTTCTATCTTTTTGTTTTGGAAATTTTACTAATTCATTAGTTTTATGTTCTATTCTATATAAAAGAATAAAATGATTAAGTTAGACAAGATGATTACTCATTAAATATTCGTATATAAATTAATCTTGACTTTAACTTTTTTATATCTTTGTCAAAATCTCAAAATACATCAGTGTATATAATAAAGGACAAGTGGCGGTAAGACCATTTTCATCCCCCATTATTTTCGCATAAAAACCACCTAGACATAGCAAGTCAACGATGGGGAACATTTTCTACGACTTAGTTTTTTGCAATTCGTCTAACCAATTTTTTCGACCCTGTCACCCCCCCCCCCCCCCCCCCCCCTCCGAC